TACTACTACTAACTACTACCACCACTACTAGAGCCCTCCTGGCATCAAGCCGCAGTATGTCAAATAGATCGTCGCCTCACTTGAGGAGCTTTGCATTTACTGGCTAATGCTGCAGATTCATTAACCTGTTGTATTTGGTGCCCCACATTCTGCCAGTTGTGCTTGTCCCTCCTTGGCGTGGCCGCATCCGCACCTGGTGCACGCCAAAGCCTCAGGATGCAGCATCACAAGACGGCATGTAGAATGGGATCACACTGAAGAATCGACTGAAGGAAAAGTTTCCACAACTCGCCGATGTCAGTGGTAAAACGTACGGTAGCAAGGCTTTGGAACTCAGGTGCCCGGGGTATGCATCCGCTGCTCTTGACTGCTGCATGTTTCTTTTGCAGCATATATATATATATGCAAGACTCCGAGTGCAGTGCCATATTCCAGCATCCTCGACACGACGTCGGTGTAATCTCCTCTTGACTTGCCTCATTGCAGGACCTCGCGACACGCACTCGCAAATGCTTGCGGGCATTCGCGACAGCGTGAACTCTGTTACCCACAGACCCTCCCACCATTGAGCAGGAACCCTTCCTGGAGATCGGGCAAAGACCAGATACATCAGTATCTGTCGTCCACATGACTCAACTGACAAAGCTGAACATCTTTAGAGCTACTGCTGTCGGCAAATGCATGGTCGTGATCATCATGGTCAGCATCCGCAGTTTCATCACCATAGAAGCAGAATTCACCGTTTCAGCATCATGACAATACCATGACCACTCCAATCATTGTCGTCATCCTCCTCGTAGTCACAGTTCCTGTCAGTGCCTTTTTTTATTTTTGAATTTTGTCGCCATAGTGACCATTCGTGACCGTGGTCATGGGCTTTGTCGTCAAAGTGTTTCATCATTCCCTACTGTCCACTTCGTAACCCGTTTTCCATATTCCTGCATCATCATGTCCAGTGAAAATCCGAATCCGGTGACTCAACCCCCAGGTGCATCGAGGCGGCTCTGTGAGGATGAAGAAGTGGCGTATGCCGCTGGGCCTACGGATCGAATGTCCGAGGGTGCAAGGTTAGAAAGATGGAGAAGTAAATGTAAACATAGCATGAGGTCGCGCGCGCGCGTGTGTGTGTGTGTGTGCGTGGGGGTGGGTATGGGGGTGGGTGGGTGGGTGGGTCGTCCAAGGTTTGCATGCCTGCGGCCATGTATGCAAACATGCACGCACACACACAAATAGAATATATATATATATATACATACATGCTTGTACACATACATGCATACATTCATGCATGTAAGTGTATGTATGTACGTAGAAATGTAGGTATGTAGTGCTTGTAAGAAGGCATATATGCAGCTATATGTGTATCTGCATGTTTCAAGAAACTGCAGGCTTTGACTATAAGTTTATGTATATTTTGTACACATGCACAATATTTTGCCTGTGTAGATGCAGTACAAAATACCAGATGTAGCATGCAGCATATACTAAGAAAACTCTTAGTCTGCTGTAACAAACGTTACCCATGTAACACGATTAAATGTTATGGGGTGTAGTGTGACTGACTGCAATATAGTAGCATGATGAGATGCAGCACAGCGTGGCAAGTCATGTACCGTTACATTATGTAATATAGAATGAAATAACGTAAGATCATGTGGTATAGTGTCACAGAATGCCGCACAATTTACTGGAAAAGATGCAGCGTGATGAACTCGAATGTATGGTGCTGCATTGTAAACTACTAGTACAAGATAGAAGCAATGTAGAGAGCGTCTATGGATATAAGTTAGTGTAGCCACATGGCATGCAATGCAGTACATGCTGCTAACATGTACCAATACAAAAGGGTGGGATAATCAATGGTTCAGATGCTACACTGCTCTAGGATTGAACATAGTGTATCACAATTCAGCAACCTACAACACCACATCATGCTCTGCAGTACTCCATAGACTGAGTATATTATATATATATATATAGAAGGAGAGAGAGAGAGAGAGAGAGAGAGAGATAGATAGATAGACATAGAGAGCGAGAACGAGAGAAAGAGAGAGAGACACAGAGATAGAGAGAGAGAGAGAGAGCGGAGAGAAAGACAGAGAGAGAGAGAGAGAGAGAGAGAGAAAGAGAAAGAGAAAGAGAAAGAGAAAGAGAGAAAGAGAAAGAGAAAGAGAAAGAGAGAGAGAGCGAGCGAGCGAGCGAGCGAGCGAGCGAGGGAGGGAGGGAGGAAGGGAGGGACACAGAGAAATGAGGGAGGGACAGGCAGTGAGAGGGAGATAAGCAGCGAGAGGGAGGGAGAGAGAGACAGAGACACCATGAATGACATTCTACCGTGTGTCTGGAGAGTGTCCACTATGGTCATGCAACGTCTTCCGCGGCAAAGTATCCTTGAATCCGTTCGGAAGCATCGTTGGAGCAGGTGAGTGTATGAGGTCACATGCCAATTTGTTAGGGATCAGAGAGGACTTGTGGCTGCATCTTTGTTGACAACAGCAGCTGCGAAGCTGCAGTATGACAAAAAAGGCTTGCATTAGAGGCTTACGTAAACCCCGAGTTGCCGAGGTCCCACTGACTGCCAAGAAAGAGTACCCGCTCGACGCCGGCATGATGGTCCTGGGCCAACCGGCATGCAATAAAGTGCGGTCGAAAGGTCGAACGTGCCTGCGTGATGTAGCTCACGGTATTCCCTGAAGCCGAAATTTCGAAACGCACAACACTTGTGGACGACATGACAAGATCTTGTGCAGCCAAATACAGTCCAACGTGTACAGCAGCAGTTTTGTACCTGTGGTTGAGGGATTTCGCATGGTGACCTCAACTGCCATGCTTCTCGAAGCATATTCTTACCATGTGGTGAGGAATTTAGCGTCACAAGTCGGGGGCATCATTTGTACAGCAGGTGCTTCGACAATGCGCCTTGCGCCTACATGGGTGGCTATGTCATTGTGTTCGTGGATGTCAATTCCCGGGAGCAATGTGGGTGTGCTTTACTTTGGTTGCGAGGGTTTATCAACTGCACGGTTTGGGGCACGTCCAGTGTCTGCAAACTGTGGGAATGGCTGCGGTATCCCGATTGCGGCCCCTGGGGAGCTCCATGGTGGACACTGCACACCCTCGATGGGATCCTCAACCTCGCATGCATTGTCGAGGAAGGATCTGGCCAATGGCAAACCCGCAGTTGTACCTGTACTGGCAAGGCGTATCACGTCCTCCTTGCGATGGGAGTTTTTTGTTTAGTTGCTTTCGTTTCCTTCTTTACTTGAGCATGACATTGCTGTCCACTTGCATCGGTGGGGACGTGGGAACGGAGCTCCACCCAACGTTGGGTTGGGAGCTCGCTGCGGTCGACATGGGATGTCCTATGCTACACCCACGACCCCTACGCCCGCCCCCGGTGGCAAGGCGCCTCCTCAGGTGGGCTGCGCAAGCAGCGAGAACACCACCTTCCAACGAAATTTCTTACAGGGTTAGTTTAGTAAGCCTTGGATAGGGTTGATCTAATCGACTCCATGGCTT